AATAAGCATAAGTCAGGCCCAAAAAGTCTAAACACCAAGAAAGTTTTAAACAATACCTTTCTTAAATATGTCAATAGGAGCCCATTCCAAATACAGTGGCTGGGACCTAAACCTACTGTATGCAAGCGCAATAAAAGCCTTACGAGCATCGACTGTGTTATCCATTTCAACAACCGCCGATATTCCGCCTGCATAAGAAAGAAAAACACTTAAAAAATTACTGTTTACTGAACTTATAGAACAGTTTATACCTGTAATCATCAAGTTCTAGCTTCATCTTGCGACTAATAAAGAAATTTCTAAAGCATTTTAGATTTTAAAAAGCAGTAAGGAATTTTATTAAGCTGCTTTTAATAAAAGGCCAATGCTGCCATTAGAAGAACAGTACAAAAGCACGAAAAACCTCAAAATTTGCGAATTAAGTGCAGGAAAAACGTAGCTACCTGGAGGCATAAGCACTCTATTTAGCAGTCCATATCTGCCAAACATCCTTTTCAGTTCGTCAACGTCCGTATTTGCGGGGAGATTTTTCACTATAATTATGGTATCACTTCTCTTACTAGCTGGCTGAGAAAATGCATCAATATGCACTCCATTTGAAATCAAGAAATCTCGAGTTTCACGAACTAACTGTGTTTCGGCAAGCGCAACTCGCACTCCCGCACTGAAAAGACAACGGAATTCAGATGAAAAAATAGTAATAATTGACAACGCATTTTGATATTAATTTTACTTGCTTCAAAAAAATTTTATTTCGCTTAAGAAAGCTACTCAAAAGCAAAAGTAATAGTTAAGAGAAATTGCGAGCAAAGCTACATAAAAAACCCGACTCAAACCTATTTTAAAAGGCAAAACCTCACTGAAAAGATAAAAGATCAAAAACTGAAAATTCTAATAAACTGTAAGCGAACAAAAAGAAAACTAATAAATAGTTTTGAAAAGGACTACGCATTTCTTATTAATTTCCCACTGTTCTATTTTGCTTACTACAAAGCCTAGTGCTTAAAAGTAAAAGTGGACTTAACCTACGAAACAAACCTTGTCTCACCCCCGTCACCAAGCAGTTCTGACTTCGTAACATCCAATCTCGCAGCAAAAGTATCAGCTACTGCATTCGCTCCCAAAAACAAGGTGTTCCACGAGTGTGCCTTCCCCACAACCGCCTGTTTGAAGCTTGTGTTTTATGTGAAGTAGCTGTCAGAGAGCATCAAAATTCACCAAAATTTATAAGAGTAATTTTTAAAAATTAAGTAAAAAGCACTAAACCAAACTCAAGCACGAAGAATAATACGCAACAGTGTAGCAATAGGACATCATTTCCCTGCATAGTACGATAGATAAACAAAAAAGAATAAATTACCTTCAATTTTGCAAGTTTTTCCTTCTGAAAAGCAGATCTAGTTACTTCCGACTTCATAGCTTCTTCATGAGAGACTCTCTTTTCGTTTCCAGGAAGGATGTGCAGCATTCGCCCCTAATCAGCAGCATACGATTAATTAATTCTGAGTGACTAACTCAAATTATTTTAAAAAACTGATTAGCCGGCGTTTAAAAAATTTTAAAAGTCTTTTGGGATGTCTACCAATTCAAACTGATCCATCACCTTTGTCCAGACACTTTAAAAACACAAAAAGCACACTTATTGAAAAGACATTATTTTTTTTACATCTATTAATCAAAGAGATCTCTTCCAGACCAAACCTGTAGTTTCCTAAAAACTTCCTCACAGAAAACCAGCAGTCTAAGCGCACCTTAAAGATGGTCCCGTCCAAAGCTGAATACGCATTAACAGCGTTCTCAGGAAAAACGTAAGTAACAATAGCGAAACCTTTACTACGTCTTGTTTTTTTATTTATAATGAACTGAATCTCCGCAATTTCCCCATACTTTTTGAAAAGAAACTGAAGGTCGTCTTCCGTGCAAGTATACGGTAAATTACGCACGAAGAGCCTGGAAAAAGCAGGTGGTTAACCTCATCCAACACAGAATATCTAGAGAGAAGTGAACGAAAAAAACAGCAGAAAACATCACGTTCTTTGCAGGGAAGTATGTCAAAAAAAGTTGAATTAAAAAAATTTGTTTTTATTTAACCACCTAAGTCCATTTATAAGCGCCTTCGTTTTCTCCCTCTAGATCCTAATTATTTTCCATATGTTTATTATTTCTTTTCTTCTCCTTTTATTTTAAATGAATAGATACGACTAATCATTACCGGCTTCAAGCCGCTTTACTATGACTTAATTTTTCCGACCTAATATCTTGTACAATAGATAATCAAAGTGGTATGACATATTTCCAATAAAAATTCGCTGCCCACGCAAAAACAAAAGTTTACAAAAATCCTTTTTTCAAAAGTTTCTCATATTTCTTCTTATAGCTGTTAAAATTACTGAGTGAAAGTGATTCGCCCATTAACTAAAATCAAGTAAATCAAAAAACGTTTTATTACTATATGAAAAGTTTACCTCCCAGTATCCAAAATTGCATTTGTTAAAGTCCTCATTTCAACTTCCTGCACTCCAACATCTACATCTTCTAGCTTTTCCTCGTTCTTACTGTTATCAATATCAGAAACCCTGTTAACTGCAACCTGAAAAGCTCAAGGACTTCCTTCCACATTCAAAAGCTGGAATTATATAAAAAATTCCCGAAAATATTTTATAAAAAGAAGAATCCACTTGGAATCGACAAAAAATGATTAATGACAAGATTTTAAATGAGAATGAGTAACACAGTACCTTAACTCCTCCCAAAAACTCTCCGTTGCGAGCTTGAACCTCCTCAACATCACCGGGATTTGTAAACGTGACAAAGGCTGCTGCCGCATGAGCATTTCGGACGATTTTCAAGCCTTTGATACTCGACGGACTCAACCAGTCTTTGAGAGTTTTTTTTTTGATTGACGGTGAAAGATTATAGAGAACCAACGATAGTGATGTGTTTCCTAAACCGTGCTAGAAAATCATTTTTCTGAAGACAATCAACTTTTCCAGTTCGAGAAAATAAATGCCAGAAATATGAAAAATGAGGCTTCTAAATAACCTGTGATTTCTTGAAGCAATTGCTCCACAAGATTTTCAGACGGGTCCTTACTGTCGTCAGACTACAACAAGCAAACAATAAGTTAAATAAGAATGGCTAAAAAGCTACCCGGACATGCAAGTGCTTTTGATTGCATATCTGATTAGTGTAATAACCAGTAAAAAAAAACGGCTTTTATTTAGAATATTGGTACTGCACATTTTACTTTAGTTAACTGAGACTTGAACTTGCTTAGAGAAATGGTATACGGCGAGAAACTAATGACCATTAATTTCTCAATTACGAAAAGATTTTAAGAAGCTAAATAAACAGTTATGGCATAACAGAACTACTGTTCGCAGAATTTATTGCATAATTTCAATTAAACTACTACCGCTGACTCTCTTACACCTTCGCCGTGTAATTTTAAAAAGTGATCGAACTTCTTTTCATCGCCGAATTTTGGTTTTTTAATGGGTACAGTTTCCGTAACAACTTTTTCTACCGTATCACTCCCTTCTTCAAGATGCGCCCTTTTGTACGCACTGAAATTATAAGTTTTACATTATACCGATTTAAAATTATTAGGCTGACACAAAACCCATTGCGCTTTTGAGTACCAATTGTTAAGAAGTTTATGTAAAAGGTTATTATAACGCTCGAAACAAAATCTGAAAGTCATTTGAGAACAAAAGAAGCTGATCTCTACAGTTTACAGTCGGCGTCCACTCTTCTTGAACTTGGGCTTTAATAAGCAAAACACACAGCATTCGCTCAATCACAATCTGTTCTTCGGCACCTGCATCATTTACTGGATATCTAATTGGAGGGAGAACCATATGAAAACTGCAGCCTAATCAACAACATCGACCACAAAGTAGTCGGCCTTCTTCAACAAATATTTCTCAAAAATCGCATCAAGCAATAACTATATTCCTAGCGACACTGTAAATTTGCTAAATTTTTCTAATGATGTACAACACTGTTTCTGACTTGAGTAATAACTTTAAAACTCAGTTACGCAAAAGCGCAATTAATTTCGTCCCAAGCCAACATTAGAGGCGCAAACAAATCTCTGTACCACAAAGAATGCCACAAAGTTCCCTTTGGAACCTTTGCAACCTCAACTCAACATCAAATTTAAAACATGGTCTTACAAAATGAGGTATAAACCACGACAAATTACACCTGCTCTCTTTCGAGTACTTGCTCCAAGCCCTTGGTTTACAAGGATCTCCAAAAGGTCTACACACTTCTACCTTAAACACCTTATTTAGTTGATAGTCGTAGCAAAATGAGTAAAAAATAAAACAAGCAGAAGCCAATCTTAAAGTGCTATCTCAATTCCCTGAAGCATTTAGACCTTTCAAAATACTCAAAAAACAATGCAGTTTTAACAGAACCTTAATTTTCGAGGATCCTATATGTGTGTTATCCAAATGCTTCAGCGCCTTCGAAGCAGAGCCCTCTTCGGAAAAACCGACATATGCGAATCTGCGAAACTTTCCATCTTTCGTGTACTTCAAACTACAGTCTGTGATATTGCCGTAACTGTCAAAAACTGATCTAAGTTTGGCCTCTGTGCAGTTGCCAGGAAGACCCTTTACGATCAAACGCGAAAACATTGTTTCCACAGTCCCGGCTGAAAAAGAGAAAGCAGATAAACCCAAAACATATACATACAGGGGAATTTCAATCTGTATAATTTCCAATTTGGTGTGAAGCTTTTTGGGAGCAGAATATCGTTTGCTATGGATAAATTCCAGCGGCTTTGGCACAGTACCACTTTGTGATGCGGAGACATCCAGAGATGATCCGGGTGAACTCCGTAAAAGTGTGCTAAACTTCTAGCTTATATATATACATATATATAGTGTGCTATAAGTAATACATCATTTAAGCAAGTAGCACAAAATTTTACCGCACCTCTGAGAAGGTTGGTCAGGTAACGTCTATGTTCACTTTAGCATACCATACTGGCGTTGCGCCAAAACCGTTGGAACTGCACCAAAACGGCCGCTTATGTTGCCAGAAGTATCAGCAGGATTTTAAAATTGAACAGGCACCCATATAAGGAACACATGTCGTGTATCCGTAAGCTTATATTAGTTAGGTCTAGATTCGTAGACGGTTAAGACAGGTTTTTCTGAATTCTATGATAAATGAGTGGCGCAGACTAAGTGGTTATGGAAGGTTCAAGAGTCTTGAAGATACTGGTTCGCAACCTTACCGTAGCGAAAATCTGCTGAAATTACTGCTGCCGCAATGGCGCGAAATATTATGACATTAATAACTTTCTGCTAAAAAATTGAACCATCTTTCTCTCCGGTCGTTTCGAGTACTGGCGGATAATTTGAAAATCTGCAAATTATGACGCTTACTGTTTCCTTAAGCAAGTTTGAATGCTGTTTAGTTACCTTTTGCAGTCGTTTCAGTCAATGCTTAATCGTTGTCTTTTGAGTCTGTTTCATTAAGTCATCTTGTAATAGATGATCGTCGCCAGTAGCTACTGTATCGAGTTAGGACTGTGTTGAGGAGGCATGTTGTCTTTTTCGTTGTCTAGTTTATGGTGGGAAGCAAAATAGTTTAATGCTACAAGGACGAAGAATTAAATGCAAAGCTGATAAACCGCACTTTTCTTCTCTCATGTTTTTTACAAAATTATTGTTTTAAGGCCAGCTGCTGCTCTGTCTCTTTTCTGCAGTGTGAAACTGTTATGGCTACGGACACATTAACGAGAAGTGCAATAACCTTAAAAGGGTCGGCACAGATGGTTCAGGAGTTTTTCCGTAAGTGGTTATGGCAGAAAAATATAATTGATCAGTGAATTTTCAAATGTAGTTAGCGCATGGTTTTTGGCGTAATGTGACTTAAAGTGACAGTACCTTCTTAATCGTTCCGTCTTCTAGAAGTTGTCCTTATGCTTTAGAGCGCATGTACTTCACCCAGTTTGTTTGCTTTCCAATAAATATTTTTAGTACCTTATCTTTTTCAAAAGCAAATTTTGATCTCTAGTTTTAAGGGGCCCCCGCTTTAGTTCCAGCTTAATTTATATAAAAGCTAGTCAGAATATTTGGTTTTCTATCTAGCTTTACAGAGTAGTTGTCTGTCAACCGGTTTCTTATAATATCTTGACTTATATATGATTTTTTAGATTTTGGTTTGAACAGTATTTTGTATCAGAGGGGTATTTATCCTGCCGATACATTTAAGAGGGAAAAAAAATACGGTTTAACACTGCTGGTAACTTCAGATCCAAAACTGAAAGAGTTTTTGGAGCCTCTTTTGCACCAAGTTGGAGGTATATTTATCTCATTTCTTAACTTTAAGATTGTTTGGATGATTCATTGTGATCATTTTATTTATAGGATGAACAGAAAATGTAATCCATTCCGTTTAATTGAATGTTATTTATTTATTTCATCGCTTTCAAAAAGAAGTTTGTAGTTTGCTTGCAAAAGAAACAGCTTAAAAGGCTAGTACTGGTCATTTCTGAAATTCAGAAGAAAGAAGTCCTGGAAAGGTGGCAGTTTGATATAGAAACGGATGAACAAGTAGAAGAAAGCGGGTAAGTAGTAGTGTGAAAATCTTTTTAACTGATTTATTAAGAACTGAGCATGGCCTTTAGCCATGCTCAGATTTAATTTTTTTTTTTTTTTGAAGTATCAATAGGTAACCCGTATATAAATGCTATTTTATACATTTACTAATTTATTTTTTAGAAGGGATTTTGAATAATCTTTTAGTAGTCTTGATTTTTTGCTGCTATTGAGGGCTGATCAGTGAGCACCAAACTTCGTTATAGAGACAATTCTACACGGCAAAAAGACGAGAAGAAAATACGACAGGAGATGGGTGATGTTATTAGGTTAGTCTTAAACGTTCGATGTGCAGTAGGTTTAAATTCTATCCATAAAACTTAAGTTTTTAATCAGTCAGCGATTCTTCTAAATATAGTTAACTGTGGAGTCCTTAGAAATCGACAGTTTTAGGCAAATTACTGCATCGGTAGCGTTTTTGCCTCTGTTGGAGCAAAGATGCTCATTTGATGTCCTCATTTATACCACGAAGGATGTAGACGTACCTAGTTCTGAGTGGAGTGAAAGTGGGGAATGTCGTATCGAAAATGGTGAAGAAGTACAATTACGATCATTCTCTACGGCTATCCATTCTGTTCGTACAAAAGTTACCTATAAACCAGAACTATGAATACGTCAGGTAACTTTTAATCTGTCTTGAGACTTACACTTTTCCTGCAGATGTACGTATCTCCGGTAGGACATTAAGTGATATCCTTCACTATGAACCTTGTTGATGATGATGTTGCATTTCTTCCTCCCATCTCTTTTTGTTACAAGCTTTCGAGGTGTAATCGTACTTCTTTTTTCAGAACTTAACCAGCATCGGAGGGTGGAAGGAAAAGAGGAGGTGAGGGAGGGACGGGAAGGGAAGGAGAAAAAGAGGAGTAAGTCAGAAGAACAATTGTGGTGGAAATATAAACTCATTTAATTAAGCTCTCAAACCGCTGTTCTCGCGTTAGTCCGGAATCCGGAAAGTGGAAGCAGCGGAAAATAAAACGCTAATTTGTAAACAAATTAGAATATACTTTCACTTTCCAACTCGTTTTGCTCAGAGAGTTCCGGATGATTGATGTTTCCACTGCAGCCATATTTTGTTCACCTCTCTTCAGTATTACTACCATACAAATCAGGAGCCTGTGTTTTGTATTTCGTGACCTTGGTAAATAAATTGACGCCTAATAAGTGTAGACATTTGAATGTCCCAAAAACCCACTTACAAGAAAGGTAAGTTCTTTAAAAAAACAAACAAATATCGCTTTATTGGTTACTTTTCCTACATTACTGTTAAATCATTAAAAATTTATTGTTCGTACAAACATTACTGATTTCACCATTTTCCGTAGTAAAAAGTAGTTGAACTGTTTCGACAGTTACGGAAGAGACAACGAATAAATCCGAAGTGTGTGAGCTGGAGGAATCTTGAAGTAATTTACTTCAAGTCTAAATCTTATGATGCTCGTATCCGAAGCCAATTCAAAGGGTGCACATATATTTTTACTATCCTCCATCGCGTTACGAAGCGACGTCCGACTTCCAATGTTCTAATATCTCACACTTCGTAACAAAGGTCCTTCGCGACTTCAGCGAATAAGCATTTTCTAGCTTTTTATAACGTCACAAATTTCTGACTACTGTAAAGAAGACAGAATTTGCTGCTATACCACGGAGACTTTTCATAAAACTAATGCTCTTGAAGATACGACCCTGTTGGCCTTTGGAGAGTTCATGCCGCCCAGATAGACCACGATGGCAATGACTTCCGCTTGCTGGAGTCGAGCAGACATTTCTTGTATTGACCTTCGACTAAGAACTTCAAAAGCCTTATGTGGCATCCATCATCTAATTGTCGTGTAACAGAGACAATAGAAATTAGAGTTATGGACAGCAGCAACTAATCATGGTCAAGTTACCTTGTAATTCAAAAAGAGAGACAGAGAAGCGGCATTATAGTAAAAAGTAATTGGTAACAGCGGTTTCAAATCCCAACAAATAATGTGACAATACGCGACTATGAAAATAACGCAGCAGTCGGTTGCCTTTCAAACAGCATTTAATTACGCTCAGAGCGACTCGGCAAGGTTTCAAAGAGCGCCCCTGGGTGGTGTGGTCTGCTAATTGGTGGTTGTGATTCCTTCAAAACAGCTAAAATTTACTGCTTTTGTTGGGAGCTCAACATTTGAGCAGTACAAGTGTTTTTTTATCTCAGTCTGATTTGGGACGCAGGGTTTGTCAACGCTTTCATTTGAAGAGGTTATCAAAATTTGGACAGTTTGAGCTGTTTTCATGTTGACGATTCTAATTCATAAAAAAATATGATATTCGCCTTCGGACGGGATTACTGCATGGAGAGTTCATTCCCCTGGGTTTTATTAAAATAATGATTTGACTGCGCGCAACAACACTATGGAGTATTTGGGATATTAGCCAGGACCACAGCATAAAAAGTGCACGTCTTGTGAGTGTGCCACGATGTCTACTGGGAGGATGAGTCGAGGGTACACGTAGAAGTCTGGCACTGTTGGTGCCAAGCCTCCCTACCAAAACTCAACCAGCCAGTCAAGGTGCTGGTGTTGCCAGCCTATAAGGCCACCCGCTGGGTCTTTGAGAGAACATTTTTGGGAGCTGAACAGGAGTGCAACAAAAAAAAAAAGCAGTATAAAGACCCCTAGCAAATTCCACGGTTCATCTCATTCTTCTTAGCCGACAACATTCATCATCAACACCTGTCTACAAAAAGTGTGCTGTATCATACATTTACCACTAAAAGCGACAGAAACAATTATTAAGCAACTTCCAGAAAATAAACTACGAAAATTCTTCCAACTAAATGAATGATCTGCATGCAGCCCGACGCACCACATTTCTGTATGTACAAAGTTTAGTCATTGAACTAGCACGCAAAGTGAATTGACAACACAATAATCAAGCCTTTAGGAAGCACCAAAGTGCTCTCCAGAAGAGTAAGCTCCTTTACGTCCAGCCCCCAACAGCATTAAGATCAACGCCTCTGAGGTCTTCTTTGGGTACTTTTTTGGTTAGGAGGTCCAACAAGTTTAGCAACATTTAGTGTTCCAAGCCTGATGCCTTCACTTTCACTAACTGGGATAACACTGAAAAATTTAGTCTCATTCTCGAGACAAAAAATCAAAGCTCCTAAAATCAAAATTTAAGTCTGCTAACACGGGTTTTAAGAAATGATGGATTACAACGAGTTCGGTAGAGTAACTATACTAAAGGACTGCTAAACAAAAGGTTTAAGAAACTTCGTGTGGAAAAAACGAAATGATTAGACACTACGGTAACTGCTTGATTGAAAAAAATATGTAGAGTAAAAAGGAATAGTGATCTTGCGTCTCTCTTCAAAGTTTTTGGAAGAATACCAAATTGCACTTCACCATATGGCCAGGGCCTCAGCATATGTAAGAGAATACATGGTTTGAATGAAGGCAAAATATTACGTGCATCCAAGGGCAAGAGCCATTTTCTTAAACTTCTTATCAGAGCAACTCAGTTCTAACGTCCACGGTGTTACAGGTACAGTATACTTTCCTAAAATTAAATCTCTCTCCTATAGAATGACTCTCATTGGAAATTTTTAGGTCATTACCGCTTAAAAGCATTATGACATAATAAAAAGTATAATTATAAGGGAAATTTGGTTGAAAGCTGTAGAATCATGCTTTAAAAAAGAAAAAAATTTAAGACATCGCTTGCAGACATATAGAAGCATGCCTTCTATTCCACTTACCATCAATTATTAGACCTAAACAAATTGTATGAGCTAGCAGCTTATCCTTGTCCACAGTGTTGACTATTGCCTTCTCTTGTCCAACGTTTCTTCGCGCAGACTCATGTGAAAAACTGTTGGCTACAAATTAAAGTGTGTTTCCAATTTAAATCATCTTGTTTCTTTTACAACGTAGTTCTTAGGAAGTTCTTAAACGTTTGAAACGGTCACAAAAGAAATGAGGAAATACTAGTGTACGGACCATTCCCCTGAACACGAAATGTTGGGCTGTAGATAAAATATCGAAATAAAACAGACCAAAAGCAGCATTTAATAACATGTCTCAAATAAAACTTACCAAAAAACATTTCGCGTACCACTGTCAAAAACTCCTGAGGAAATGGTAGAGAAAACCACTCTTTTACAGTCACAGACCTCTTTCTTGGAGGAGAAAGCATCTAAACTGTTTGGTGTACAGGAAGCCAATGAACGAAACGTGCGGAAAGGGAGACAATTACGAAGGACAGCACTACGATAAGCACAACCTTATAACAAGTAATCATTGTCGCTAGCAAAACTAGAAAAACAGCCCTTCTGGAAGGATCACTAGAATCTTTAGATAACAAGAGCACCAGTTTTGGGAAACCTGAAAAATTTCAACAAGCTAAAGACGAATGATCAGCTCTTTTCTTTTTTCACTACATAAAAAAGCAAACTGATAATAAAGTGAATTGAATTTCAAAGGATTAGATTAAAGCAAACTGAAAACAGAAAACTCTTAGATTCCCTAAGCCGAAAAAATTTCAAAAAATCAAGAAGAAAAAACTAAACTTAACTGACCTGCATTAATTAATTCCCTTTCAGATTTACCCAAAAAGTTAAAAGCAATCTCCCTCAAACCGTTTATTTCTTCATCTGATAAAAATTGATTGTACGAATACACATCCGCAGGAGACTTCGCATCATTATTAGGAATCGGCAAAACTGAGCTCTGCGGCTACAAATGCTCAAAATTTCAAAATTGCCAACCTCCGAAAAAGAGAAGAAAACTAAAAACAATATTACTGACATATACCTTTTCAAATAATGCAATCGGTGATGGCTTCTCTTCACTATCCGCAGACGAAATAATATTCGTATTTTTCAACATAATCTTTAATGCATCCTAGAACCAAAAAAATTCCTTCTAGAATTTAAACTTTACTGTCAATAAGGCTATGTGTAGTTCCCAGGTCAGAACTCGGTGGGGCTTATACTAACCTCCCCTATAAGTCTTCTGCCTGCTCCGGCTTGTGATTTTAACTTCTTTGCTGAACCAAATTCTTCGGTTAGGGCCCTTCGTCTCTCAGCCCAAGATAGTTTCGTCACGACTTTATCATCATTATAAATTATTTTAGGGGGAGGTCTGGAGAGTAAAGAGTATTTAGATGTTTCAAATGTAACATTAACTCCCAGAAAAACACAAACTAAATTTTAAAATCTAGATTTAAAAATCTTGGAACTTACTTGAGACCAAGCAAAATATTTGGTTCATTTGTATAGACCTTCTCAAAGCTAACAACTTTAACTGGCAAATACTTCGTCTCACTTGTTCTTCTACTGACCATTGCGACCATATAATCATAACCAAGCGCACTGGTCTGGTTCTCCCTCCCGAAAAATACAATATTGTCCCTTTTTTCATCCTACAAAAAATTTAGTATACTTCCAATTAATTGGACATGAAAACCGCAGTTCCGATGCCAATTCAGAATTTCTATAAAAAATCTGCCAATTGCAAATAGCGCACCAACTAGCAACTAAAAGTACAGGCTCATACTTTAGAAACGGCTTATTTTGTCAAAGAAGACTGCAGTATTATATGGCAACACGGTAGAAAGCATCACTCTCAATTGCGAAAAGGTGCAAGGCATACAAACTTGCAAAATTTGCTCTAGAGATCAACAAGAAGATCCCACCCTAATAAACAAAAATATTCTTTCACAAATAATATCCTTGGCCACATTCCATTTTATGAACACCAAGCACAAAGAGTCTCGTACTTGAACTTGATGTACAGCGAAAATACTATTTAAAAACCTGACCATTCTGAGCCTGTAATGTATATAAACTAATGCGGCCTCCCCCCACCAAAAAAAAAAAAAAAAAAAAAA